TGACTATACATATAGGAAACATCTTTATTATTATACAGTATTTATATAGTGCTAAAAGGTTTGCTCAGCGCTGTACATTATAGTGGGGGACAGAACATGAGACAATACAGTAACAAAACACGAGGGATCAACATACATTTACACAGCATTGATCAACCACTGCAGAAATTGTTTGTCTGTAGGTCCATGTGTTCTTAAATGGTCAATACAGCCAAAATGACAAATTGTTCTATGCAAAATTTATAGAATACTCATTCATATTATGTTAGATTTTACATTTCCACAGTCTAAGCACGGGTGTCAAACTGGTGGCGCTCCAGCTGTTGCCAAAGTTTAGGCATTGGAAGACTGACAGTTACAAGTATGACTCCCAAAGCAGAGGCATGATGGGACTTGTAGTTTCACAACAGCTGGAGGGCCTCCAGTTTGACACCCCTGAAGGTTATATATTTTTTACCTGTTGAACTTGCTTTTACCATACATATCACCACATTTACTGTGCCAGGCTGACAACAGGGATTAGCAGCTATCGAAATAGCTGGTCCCCCAATCATTGTCAGAACCTGGAAGCAGTGACGTCCCATGAGGTATTCAATCCAAGTCAGTGGTTTCTTTTAATTTCATATGCACTTTATTTAGTACTGAGCTCTGGCACTACTCAGTCTAGACTTTTAACTTTTGGCAGCACAGTGAGTGGCTGGTGACACAACTTCCTGTAGTGATGTCAGTACAAAGGGGAAGCTCTACCTGCTGCTACCAAGAGGCAGAACACTCAAAGAAGATTAGTGGCCACTGGCCGTGCAACCACAAATAAAAAGAAGAAAAAAAAGTTATTTTATCCAGATTTCATATAAAGCAATAGAATAAAGCAGTGTCAGAGCTAGCATATAGGACATTAGCGTGAGGATGACTTTCCATCTACGTTAATGTTTCAGTCAAAACTGATCATGTAATGAAAGTCAGTGAAACTACCTACAGTATGTAAATAGTTATTTGTTAGCTGTTGGGTGTCAATGATGCCAGTTTTCGATTGCCGATTTTCATAGCCACAAAAGGCTAGGCTGGTCTTGCCATATACTGTATGTCCCCATTTTAATCACATTTATGTCAGGTAATGTTTGAAGTTGGGTCTAAAATTTGAATTTGAAAGATTTCCTACAATATTACATGATTCCACAACTCATTGGGAGATTGTAGTACTTCCCAACCGACTTATTGCTCCAGTACTTTGACATAGTTATCCACTGACCTAAGGTCTGTTTTGTAATAGTTAAATAGGGAGAGTTAGAAGGGGACAGACAAACGTGGGTCAAGAGCTGGATCATCCACAAGGCAATGCAGGCAGAGGCCTAGGGCCAAGTGGATGGCCAAGGGATCGACTACAGTCTTCATGCTCCTGCAGTAAACTGGGGCATCGTGAAGCTGATCAAATTTGCTCAACTGACTGTCATGTCACAAGGGGAGATGCATGTGTAGACAGTTGATGTCAGATGGGGAAGCAACAACCCAGTATAGAGATTGCCAAAAGGGCAGCTTTTCTCTACTTTTTGCAATCCTTATTCAAATTTGGTTGCCCAAAAATGGTTAGCACTTCCGCCCGGCAGTACTAGGGCCGTTGGTTCGAATCCCAACCACGGCACCACCTGCCTGAAGTTTGCATGTTCTCCCTGTGCCTGTGTGGGTTTCCTCCAGGTACTCTGGTTTACTCCCACACTCCAAAGACATGCTAGTAGGTGAATTGGATCCTGTCTAAATTGGCCCTAGTATGTGTATGAATGTAAGCTAGGGACCTTAGATTGTATGCCCCTTGAGGGCTAGGAACTGATGTGAATGTACAATATATATATAAAGTACTGTGTAAATTGATGGCACTATATAAGTACTTGAAATAAATAAATAAATAATACATTTATTTCAAAAGGATGGGGTGGGGGAGGTCAAAGCTGCCATGTTGCCTAGGGCCCCATTCCATCTTAATCTGCCTCTTCTTAGTTCTGATAAAAGTTTAGCCTTCTTTTCAGTTATGGCTAAACAAGCAGTTGTAAGTTCCTCGCGTGAACTTACAAATAATCGCTTTCTTTTCATCACATAAATATAATTGAGAACTGCTAGCAGAGCTCCATTGCATAACTGCAATTGTTCTGTCTGATTGTAGAATGCTGAAATTTAAATCTGTGGCCAATTTTTTATGTAAAAAAGTCCTCTTGCAGCTAAAAAAAAGTAGGTCTGACTGTAATACCGCCTGTCTTAATAGGTCCCCTGCAGTAATTGATTTTTGCTACTAGATGTCCTTAGTCTTCAGAGGTAAATGACTGAAGACATCATATGCCGGTGTCATGGGCCAACCCCTTATGGAGATGTCACTATAGAACCCTGTGCTCTGATACAGAGAATGTGAGCAGAGAATGTGAACACCTGGACCCGCCCCTTATAGGGACGTCCTCACATCAGCGCCCCATTTTATATCATAGAGGGACTGCTAAGGGCTAAAGAGAAAGTATATTCCATGCTACACAAACCAGCCTAAAACCACCTCCAAAGATATAAAAAAAGTAACAAAAAGCACATGGAAGGTAAACTTTAGGGCAAAAGGTGTGAGCTATTGATTTGTGCTCTAACATTGTAAAAATAAATATCAGCAGTCAGTCTCCTGCCGTTTTTTTGTATATTTAAATAGAAAGGGGGAGTAAATGTTCATATTAAGATTCTGTTCTCAGTGTTCTGGCAGATTAATCTCATAAAGTTTATCTCCAAACAATTGCTCAAAAATCTCCTGCACTGGATTTCATCTATACGAGATATTTTTCAATTTCTTTAAATGTTATAAAGTGTATTAACATTTGTATAGTAAAATATCTATACCTGTACATGTACTTGTTTACATGCAATGTAAACTGGTACAAACATTATTTTAGGTTAGAAAATAGAGTAATACTAAAAGCTAACAAAGGAATAAACCGAAGAGCACAATTCTTGGCACTTTTTTATTTTTCAGTATACAAGAGCAAATACTGCAGAAATATCAGCAAATTGGAATGAAATAGTTTTTCTGTTAAAAATAGAATTGGCAAACAGGAAAACAAAGCAGTGTACACAAGTGTGAAAATAGAATTCATGAAAACCTAGTATTGCGGTGTCAAGGAATATTAGTTGGCAGAAGCAAGTTTTTTTCATGTTTTAGCCAATGAAAGGGCACCAATGAAGTGCAAAGTGCAGTAGCTGATAGCAACCAGACACATTTTACCTTTTCAGTTTAGAGCGTGGATAACAATAAAAAAATTTCTGAATGTTTAGTTGCTGAGGGTTGTTGTACTTTGCATATGGTTCTTTTGCCCTATTAAACAAGCTCATTTACATGTAACAATTTTCTTGTTGCTTGTGGGGAATGCTTGTGCATCATGATGCATCTTCCCTGTTTGAAAAGTTAAAGTGTTTATTCACAGTATATAGTATAGCCGAGTGATCATTACAGATAGTGAATGTGACAAGCATTACTAAATAGCATGTCAATCTCATCAGAGATGTTATAATTTTTACCTGTGTTAAACCATCAATAAAACATACGGTAATTGGGGAGATTTACTAAAACTGGAGAGTGCAAAATCTGGTGCAGCTATGCAAAGAAAACAATCAACTTCCAGGGATTATTATCAAAGCTTAATTGAACAAGCTGAAGTTAATAGTTGATTGGCTACCATGCACAGTTGCACCAGATTCTGAGTGTTCCAGTTTTTGTAAATCCTCCCCAATGTGTGCTCTTTTACATAATGTAGCGTTCATGTTACCATTTGGGATGCATTGCCAGCCTGTTCAATATTCTGTCTACTTTTATACACTATATTGCTAAAAGTAGTGGGATGCCTGCCTTTACACGCACATGAACTTTATTGGCATCCCCGTCTTAGTCCATAGGGTTCAATATTGAGTTGGCCCACCCGTGCAGCTATAACAGCTTCAACTCTTCTGTGAAGGCTGTCCACAAGGTTTAGGAGTGTGTCTATGGGAATATTTGACCATTCTTCCAGAAGCGCAATTGTGAGGTCAGGCACCGATGTCGGACGAGAAGGCCTGGCTTGCAAGTACACTGATTCATCCCAAAGGTATTCCATCGGGTTGAGATCAGGACTCTGTGCAGGCCAGTCAAGTTCCTCCACCCCAAACTCACTCATCTATATCTTTATGGACCTTGCTTTGTACACTGGTGCACAGTCATGTTTGGAACAGGAAGGGGTCAACCCTGAACTGTTCCCACAAAGTTGGGAGCATGAAATTGTCCAAAATGTCTTGGTATGCTGTCGCCTTAACAATTCCCTTCACTGGATCTAAAGGGCCAAGTCCAACCCCTGAAATACAACCCCACACCATAATCCCCCCTCCACCAAACTTTACACTTGGCACAATGCAGTAAAGCAAGTACCGTTCTCCTGGCAACTACAAAACCCAGACACATCCATCGGATTGCCAGAAGCGTGATTTGTCACTCCAGAGAACACGTCTCCACTGCTCTAGACTTCAGTGGCAGCGTTCTTTACACCACTGCATCCGATGATTTGCATTGCTCTTGGTGATGTATGGCTTGGATGCAGCTGCTTGGCCATGGACACCCATTCCATGAAGCTCTCTACGCACTGTTGTTGCTTCACTGGATCTAAAGGGCCAAGTCCAACCCCTGAAATACAACCCCACACCATAATCCCCCCTCCACCAAACTTTACACTTGGCACAATGCAGTAAGGCAAGTACCGTTCTCCTGGCAACTACAAAACCCAGACACATCCATCGGATTGCCAGAAGCGTGAGTTGTCACTCCAGAGAACACGTCTCCACTGCTCTAGACTTCAGTGGCAGCGTTCTTTACACCACTGCATCCGATGATTTGCATTGCTCTTGGTGATGTATGGCTTGGATGCAGCTGCTCGGCCATGGACACCCATTCCATGAAGCTCTCTACGCACTGTTGTTGCTAATCTGAAGGTTACACGAAGTTTGGAGGTCTTTAGCTATTAATTCTGCAAAGAGTTGCACACTGTGTACTTCAGCATGCGCTAACCTCACTCTATCATTTTACGTGGCCTACCACTTCGTGGCTGAGTTGTTGTTTTTCCCAGTTGCTTCCCCTTTGTTAAAATACCATTAACAGTTGACCGTGGAATATTTAGTAGCAAGGAAATTTCACAGATGAACTTATTGCACAGATGGCAACCTATCACGGTACCACACTTGAATTCACTGAGCTCCTGAGAGCGACCCATTCTTTCACAAATGTTTGCAGAAGCAGTCTGCATGCCTAGGTGCTTGATTTTATACACATGTGGCCATGGAGGTGATTGGAACCCCTGAATCCAATGATTTGGAGGGGTGCCCCAATACTTTTGGTAATATAGTGTATATACCTGCACTCAAAACCTACTAAACCTTCCAAAAAATATTTTCCAAGGAAATGATTATGGGAATAATAGTAAGATAATATGGGTTATGGTACATAGCGGAAGTTTACCCTGGCAAGTTTAGCCAGAATTGGTGAATGTTAAGTACCCTGGGGAATCTTGTTATAAAGGCATTGATCCTCTTGTAAGTTTTGAGTGTGGTAATCATCACACACAGTGGCTAGAGAGTCACATTAATTCATCTTACTGCTATATGCAGTCCCTTATATGTTGCAAGAATTTTGAATCCAAGTCACATTAATTCATCCTACTACTATATACAGTCCCTTATATGTGGCAGGAATTTTGAATCCAAGTAAGGATTATATGTGTATATGCAAGTAGACAGAATAATGGACAGGCTGCCTTCGCAATCCCAATAGTAAATGAAAAGTGCAATATGTAAAACAACACAGACAAGTAAAAAATGTTTTTACTGATAAATTAATACATTTTAAAATCATACTATTTCTGATGGGGTTTACATGCTAGTTAGTAATGCACATCACATTCATTACACCAGATACAAATTACATCTATACCCCAAGTGCAGAGGAAAGATTATGAAAAATTAATATCTCCTTGAGTATTTAAGTGATGATTACACATACTAACAGCTGTAGATTGTAGTTTACAATCTACTGACATGTAACCTTTGTGACTGGTAAGACACAGATTTAATGTGAGAACTTGGTGTCCAGAATCAAACTGCCATGTTTGTAGTAGCATTGAGACCAAGGTTTGGCAGAGCTGATCCAGATTTCCATAAATCTGTTAAGATCTATAACAGTGATCTAAAACTAGCTGTTAGGATGTTATCAGTGTTCATATAGTGTACCAAGTCGGATTATTGTAGACCCTCCAGCACTGCTCCTGATTATCTCTGCTTTTTGACTTTATTTACCTGACATTTAAAGATAAACACCAAGAAAATACCAAATAACAGACATTAAATACATATCAGAGTACTGAATTCCTACCAAAGGATTTGTATTTTTTGTTCATTTAGTTCTGAGATTTACACAGCCCAATCACATAATGCCATCACATAATGCTAGGTTGATGACACCATTTACAGTTAAAGCAGAACATTTATTCAATCTACTTCTTGTGAGCTCAGGGTATTATGAATATACCCCCTGGGATTTTGTCATCATGTCAGCCCGGTGTTACAGTACAATGCTGAGAAAAATGGCATTGGTGTCATTACATGAGCACCTTTCTCTGCAGCTTTGAGAACTGTCCACCATTGACACTGAAGGAGAAATGAAGCAACCCTGGGATGTCGCAAAAGACAGCTAGAAAAAAGTGTATGCTGAAAATGTTTTAATGTCTGATGACAGGTGTCCACCTTTTGACTGGACAGTGACATCAGAGGACTAATGAGGTAATCTCCTTGCTCATGCTCTTTTGTTATCTTATCAGCATGTAGAATCTCAGGGTAGCTTTATAGGGCACTGCAGGAGGTGGTACCAGGTCAAAACCAGGTACTTACACTGACTGATATATATAAATACATTTAATGTCACAATAATACATACAGAGCTGCATTAATTTGTGAAAGAACAGAATTTTCTCTTTCATTCCTGCTAAAGAAAGGGACAACCTTTACGCACAGGTTAGCATGACAGACAAATGGACAGAGCCGTTTCAAACTAGCTAAAGTTACGGTAAACTTGTACAGGTTTGCAATTGCAAATGAAAACAGTCCAAAATAAATCTCTGTACATTACCCGCCTTGCTACCAGGGGCGGACTGACCATTTGGAAACTCGGGCACTGCCCGGGGTCAGTAGGGGGTCCCATGAGATGCCCCTGGTACCTTTTTCATAGGCTTTTTTGAGTTTGGGCAAGGACACAGGGGCCCCATGATCCCCTATTGCCCGAGGGCCCCATGAGTTGTCAGTCTGCCCCTGCTTGCTACACTTTACAGAGACAGTCCCTTGACCATCCATGAGCAGGTTCCCCAGACCCCTAACTCTCCAACACAAAATTCAACTCATAGTTGCCTTTCAGGATTGCTTTCACCAAACTAGCTTTTCCCGGTCTTGCCTGGATTGTAATTACAGTGTGATGTATCTGCTAACCTGCCCTTTAATTGTTCCCAATGCTTTAACCCGGGATGATAACATTTGCTGCCCAATTGTTATATTTGTACAAGGATGTCCCTTTCAAAAACTCAATAAAAACAAAAAAAAATCACCACAACCACGATTTCAGCCCACACAAATCCACCAGTATTTGGAGTGGTTTTTTTTTTTTTGTTATATATGTATTCTTTGAATCTATGTGCAGTTTTAATATATAGGAAATGTACATGTATGCCCTAAATTAATGACAGTTTTGATAAAACATGAAATCAGAAACAAATATTATGAGTTTTAAAAAAAATAAAGTAATATTTTCACAATTTGTAATTCCTTATTCAGCATTGCTGACCTCCTGCAGTGTCTTTCTGTCCTGCAAACACTTTAGGATTGATTTACCAAAACTGGAGAGTGCAAAACCCTGCAGCAGCTCTGCATAGAAATCAATCAGCTTCCAGTTTTTTTGTCAATGCATAATTGAACAAGCTGAAGTTAGAAGCTGATTGGTTGCCATGCACAGCTGCACCAGATTTTGCAATCTCTAGGTTTAGTAAATCAACTCCTTTCTGTCTTCATGCATGCACAACAGCAACTACTACACATCATTTCGCAGAGATGGGTTCCTGCAGCACTCTACTTGTAAACTTCATTGGGAAAGCGTGTGTAGAACTAGGGAAGATCCATACATTCCCATGCTGGAGTACAGGAATATACCTACTTATCAGGGATGAGCAACCAGCTACTAATCCTTAACTGTGGTATTCTGGCTTACAATGGGCAATAATGGGGGGTTTTGATATGTGCCAGCCCTCCCCCTATAAAAATTTTGGTTCCCATCAGCCTGTTCTCAGTGTGTTGGAAACTATGAGTAGCTGCTCTGTTATACAGTGCTGAACAGTGCTGTGTTGCATACACTACAGTGAATCGCAGTGTAGTGGGCTGCATAGTGTGCACCCCTCTCCCCCAACACTCTTATCTAGGACCCCCTTTTTTGTGTGTGTCAGGAACAACTTCGGGAGTTATGCTTCATTTAATATCATTTTGCTGGGGTCTTTTTTATTTTGGGATCAGCAGCATTAACTTTTTTGCTAAAAGCAGCAAAGCTGCCCTTTGTTTGTAGAATATCAGTGTTTGCTAGTGCAGTACAGTTTAGTACACCACATTGGTAAGTGCACTAAGGCATCATATCCTCAATCTTCCTATTGCCATAGCTGCTGTTAAAATTAAGAAATCCAGAGCTGTGGTCATCATGTCTGAGAGACCTAAAAGGGAGAGGCGGTGGTTCTTCAAGTGCAGCTAGTAGGGGGTAAGCAGTTTCTGCATTCCTAGGGCAAGAAGTGATTGAACTGCACCATTGAGAAAAAGGGCATGTCTGGCAGTGGGCATGCTAAACAGCCAGAGCATGCATAGAAGGTTGTTGAGGTGCAGGACAGTGCATTTTGCACTTTATTCTTCCCCATCCTCTACAGTTAATCCAAGCACTCTCTAGAAAATCATGGTTGAAGAAGAAAACACCAGGAGCATAGAGATAGGAGAAAACAGGCTAGCAGCAGCAATTGCCATTGATGTTCCTGCAGTTGCAGCTTACTGCCATGTGGACTCAAACAATTGGGAGGATGGGGATGATGAGCTGGCACACTGTACCTGGGTGCCAGAAACTTTAGAGCAGGTAAGTGAAATAGAGGGACAAAAACAGTACAGGAGGATTTCATTCAGGGGCATCTTGCAAAGGAGTGGAGGGAGCAGCTGTCTGAGTCCACCAGATGGCACTACCCCAAAGGTGAAATCCACTGCTGTCCCCAGTACTGCTTCACATAGCTCAGGAGCCTGGACCTTTCTTCACACATATGCTGTCAACAGCACCATAGTGGTTTACAGCAGTGTTTCTCAACCTCTTTCCAGTCAAGACACCCTCTAAAAGTATGATCAGTCTTCAGACACCTCAGTCTAATGCAGGGTACACCCAGCAGGCAAAAAAAAAAAAAAATGTAGAAATCGCAAATGTTAGTGCAGTGCTTCCCCCGCTGTGCTTTTGTGTTCTGACAGGGGGACTGCCAAAACACAGTGATCAGGGTCACAGCCATTGGCTGCAAGCTCTGATTGGAAGCTGATCGGATGCTGGTTTTTCAGAATGCCCGTTCAACAGAAGCCGATTGTGAGAAGAGCTGTACAACTGAAAGTTGTCCAGTTCTTGCCGCAGCTACAACTCGCTGCTCTTTACAGATGTGTGGGGCTGCCATTCATTCTTAATGGCATCCCCACGCATATAAAAAATCAGCACATTTGCAGATGTTGGAACCATTGGTAAAGCACCAGAGGCGTAGCTGGGGGGGGCAGGGGGTACATATGTACCCGGGCGCCAAGGTACAGGGGCGCCAAAATGAAGTCACAAGATTACTGCAGCGGCTACAGCAGACGTGTCATCTGATACGTTTGCCATCCACAGTGAGTTATGAGAGGAGAGAGGAGAGAGGAGCCGGCCGGGAGAGGAGCGGAGAGGAGGGCAGTGAGCCGGGCATGTGCCGGAGGGGACGAGGGGAGAGCCGAGCTGGGTGAGTAGTGCCATGGATGAAGGGGGGGCAATGTGATCGGGATGGGGGGGTGTCTACAGGGGCCATATGAAGCGGGGGGGTGTCATGAGGTGGCCGTTCGTCCCCGGGTGCAAAATATCCTAGCTACGCCTCTATAAAGCACCATGCGATTTCCCAGCTGCTATGGTTTAAAAATGGTGCATGATCATTTTCCCTGGCTAGTAGCTCAGGACTTGAAATTTTGAGCCCTATGTGTATATATATATATATACACACACACATACTGTACATACAGTATATTCACACACACATACATTAAGCCTTTTTAAAAATGCAGATCAACTGACCTGGCTGGTCCAGACACCTCACTTGGCTGACTTTCACTTTCATGAATTCC